GAGCATTGGGTGCTAGGTGGAGTGTCAAAGGTAGAAAAAATGGGATGACTGTAATAGCATTATCAATAAAATATAATTAAAAAAAAGAATTACCAGGCAGCTTGTTAAAAAAACAAAACAAAAACAAGGCATTGTTTATGCTTTTGCCCCTTGGAATCAGTGGTCAGAGCAAGCCAATTTACACCTTTAGAAAGAATGTCATAAGACCACCTTCTTGTATTATAAGATTCTCTAAAAGTATTTGTTTCACTTTCCCAAGCATGCCATTAAGGTTTTCACTAGTGAGCTAAGTCTATTAAAGATAAATATCATTTGCTAAGTTCTACTTAGAATAACTGAAAAAACATAATATAATGTATCAAAGTTATAAAAAGCATTAAACAACAAGCTGTTTTTCATTAAATTAAATTCTGGGATATTTGAGCATAGAGTCAAGTTTCCTTCTCTCTAGAACTCTTATCCACAGCCTTCAGCTTTCTTCTTATTCTCTTACACTCACCAGGCAAATACACCTGTTTAATAAGGTCAAACTGAGGAAACTTCAAGTAAGAGTTCACTGCAATTCAATACTGACAGTGTTGCTCTCCCACAGAAGTACCTTCCTAATTCTCAGGTACAAATATTCCCAGTCTGTAACAGACAGCAAAAAACAGAAGTGGCTTGTCAACACCAACAATGTTGATTATTTCCTTTTCAAACTCCCAGACCCCAAATCCTGCCCAAAGGATTTCTTCCAAGCAATTTTGAAAAGAGTATGAATTGACATAAAGGAAAATGATCAAGATGGTAGCACCCAGACATTAATGGTGTCAGTTTCCTTAGACAACTACAGTTATAACCACAGACCATACTGAAAACAGGAAATATATTCTAATCTGGTACTTTCAAACAGTGATTTTATAAAGAACCAACCAATCAAACTAATATAGGACTATAAAGTAATACTTATGAGAGCAGTGTGATACTAGCACAATACAAAAAGAATGAAAGGACATACAATACACTAGCAAGTTCAAAACTGAAGTCTATACATACATTAATTTAGTATATAATAATGGTGGCAGTATTACTGTAAAAAGCACAGAACATTCAGTAAGGGTGAAGGACCAGAATCCTCATTTGTAGGAGAAGAGAATAATCAGATCCTTATATATCATACTTTATACAAGTAGATTTCATCTGAACTGAGGAATTAAACATATAAAACACGCTAGAAGAAAACATAAAGGGAATATTTAATAATTTAAGGTAAGAAAAGCTTAGTAAACACCAAAAAGGTAGAATCAGACAGTGACACAATATCAGTCACAAAAAGAGAGTTAACCATTAACTGTACAATGAATTGGAAGACAATGATGCTGATGTAATAGTCATAATATATTAAAAAAAGCTAATGGGCAAAAGGATATTAATAAGTAATTTGTAAGAAATTCAAATGAAAAAGTTATAATTAACAATTCAACAACTTCACTACTAATAGTCAAGGAAAAACAAATTAAAACAGTGAAATGTAATTTTCATCAGAAAAGACCAAAAAGAAAAGTGATGGTTTAGTGATGGTTTAGTGATCTATTAGTGATGGTTTAGGAAATACAGTAATGGTGGTAGTAGAAACTGATAAAGCCTTTTTTAAGAATGACTTGATAGTATGTTTATGCTTTTAGCAAACTTAGTAAATTTACTTTTAGAAATCCTATAGAAATAATCATACAGGTGTGCAAAAATATAGTATTATACGTAATTACACACACACACATTGATAGTGCTCGGTAAATATTAGCTATGTACTAAACATGGTTCTAAGAGCTTTATATACATCAACTAATTTAATCCTCACAACAACCCTGTAATATTAAGTCTGTTATTGTCATCCTCATTTTGCAGATAAGAAAACCAAGGAACAGAAAGGATAAGAAACTTGCTCAAGGTCACAGAGGCGAGACAAAGATTCAAACCCAGGTTATAACTCCAATATCTGAGCTCTTAATCACACCCAGACTAGAATGTTTATTTCAGTATTGTTTATAATAGCAAAATACTGTGAGACAGTAAAATATAAAATGATCCATCCATCAAGTGAAAAAATGATAACATCATTTTTGATAACATCAAGTATAAACAAACAAGTCCCAAAAAACAGTTTGGCAAACTTTCATTTGTACCTTAAAAACAACCTCTGGGTATAGATTTGTATGTAGGTGTATCATTCTTTTATTTAGGCCTTTGTCTAAAAAAAAACTAAACATCAAAGAGCCAATACTGGTATCTTTGGGGGGGGGAAATAGAATTAAGGAGTGAGCAGGAAGAGAGACTTTCACTATTGATTTTACATAATATCATATGAGGTTAGTCCAGAAAAAAGTCTAGCCATTGTTAATATAAGGAGAACAGTTTGTGTGGCATCCAATGTAACCTGGCAGCCAAGGTGAGTGGACTGGAATGGGCGTGTGTGAACAATGATGACTTCCTGTACTTGAGAGTTGGGGCAATAGATAGATGTTGAGTGTGGCCATGGCATTCAAAATGACTGAGTGAGTATAGCAACAAATCTGCATCAAATTTTGTGTTAAGCTTGAACATTCCTCCATGGAAACTATTCAGATAATTCAGTTTTTGGCAAAACATCAAATCACCTAGGTCACTCAGCCTCCCTACAGCCCAGGCTTGGCACTCTGCAACTTCTGGCTTTTCCCAAAACTAAAATCACCTTTGAAAGAGAAGAGATTTCAAACTGTAGATGAGATTCAGGAAAATACGATGGGGCAGCTGATGGTGACTGGGAGAACTGGGTGAGGAGGTCCCAAGGTGCCTACTCTGAAGGGGACTGAGGCATCATTGTTGTATGTACAATGTTTCTTGTAACCTTTATCTTCTTCAATAAATGTCTCTATTTTCCATGTTACATGGATGGATACCTTCTGGATAGACCTCATATAAGGTGACTTCTATTATAATTGGCATGGCATTATTTTTAAATTAAAAACAAATTTAACAAGCAAACAAACAAGGAAGTGGAAGCACAGGTTAAATAAGGTGCTAATAAGACTGACACTATGGGATCTTACCCCCATATGAATCAGTTAACTCTGCTATGCCATAGACTGAAGAACTCTAAACCTGGCCAATTGTTCCAAACATTTTGATGCTGATTATAATACAGTAAGATTGGCATATATTGTGGCAAGAGTGTTCAACATCATTGATGAGAGTCAAACTTCTCGGATTCAAATGCAGCTCCACTACTTACTAGCTGTATAGTTTCAAGCAAGTCACTTAACCTCTCCATGTCTCAACTTCCTCATTGTAACATATGGATAATAACATTTGCCTCATATATTTAATATTTGTAAAGCCCTTATATAATACCTGCACAAAGCTAATATATATTCCTTTTGTTGGACAGAAATAAATAACTTGAAAAAAATACATGTATGTGCACATTTTGATGTTAAGCTAATGGCACTATCTCCCTATTCAAACACATTAGTAACCTCTCCAAGATAAACTAAGTGCATCATACATAGTAAGGGTAAGTATTATTTTACAAAACTTTTTAAAGGCTATGTAGACACATGTATAAATACTGCACCATAATGTGAAATGTATTCCTCATGGTCAAAAGTGTGTCAAAGCCACTGCACTGGAGCATACCAGTGAGTAGCTTACAGCTTTGTCCTCTGCAGCCACATCCCGAGAACAAACCTCACCACATCAAGCCTGGGATCTTTCATCTAAAAGGGCTTCACAGTAAACACAGTTTTCAAACCTTAACATATACAGAAACGTCCTGCTTTAAAACAAATTCAAAACGCTTTCTTCTCCCTAAAATATCTTTTCTATTATCTCTAGATTAAAATCATATAACTATTAATATATTTTTAATTGGGACCAAGCAATCCTCCTCCTCAAAGTTTTTTGCATCCATACCCAAACCTCATCTTGATTTTAAGGCACCTTAATCCAAATTCTGATCTTCTGCAGGTTTATTTATCACTTTTTAAAAAATTCTGTCACTTCAATGGATGATACAAATAGCTAAGAAATTATAATGCCCTGCCAAAAGTAAGAATCAGTTTTATTACCTGCAGTAACTGTTTCTAGAATAAAACCATAACATATTACAATTGATCTATTAAAGATAGGTATTTGAAATTAGGCTTCTTTCAGTATATAAATCAACTATACTAGACATATTTTAAACCTACTGGTCCTCAAAATATTTTTCCCAGTACACTAAGTCTAACACACTATTTCTCCCACATCATGTCCCATATAACATCATTTAAATGAAGTAAATTACAAAGTCCAAAAAACCTTTTATCCACCCCTGCCCCAAAAAGGGGGGCTACAATTAACTGAGACCCTTTTCTTAGTATTTCTTGGACCCTTTTTACATTCCAGAAACAGTAATTTGTACATCTTAATTCAATAAAGTATAAATTCAATAAAGCCAATTTAGAAATTCTTCAGTTCAATCCCCTCATTAAAAAATGATAAAATCTAGATCTGAAGAAATAAAATAACATCCTCAGAGACACATGCTTTCGACTGAGATGATACATGATTATGGGACTGCTAACATCTTTTCATTAGCTTGAAAAAATAGCCTAGGATTATAAATATTAATTAATCACATATATTAAAACTATGTAACTGCAAGCAACTATTAAACTATCACACACTATTAAAAAATTTACATGTCTGTTAGTATGTCTTCTAAAACTTTTCAAATAATTTCTTAAGGTATGTAAGTCTCATTTACAGAAAAACAAGCCTAACTCCAACAGTATTGCTTCCTTATTACAATATCACAGCTAAGGTAAGATTCTTCAACAAATTAGCAAGTACTTAAAACATAAGATACAATTACCTACAAAATTTTATTATTTAAATCTTTACATTAATAAAGTTTCTCCTACTGTCTTTTAAAGTAAATTCTGATGTGAATGGAGAAATCATAATACATTTATTAAAATCCAATTTTTTTCTATGTCTCATACCTGTTGTTCATCCTCCATGATGTTACTAGCAAATTCAAATACTAGGTCGTTCTGTTGGACAACAGCAGCCATAATAAAGCATTCCTCTTAGATCCACATGAGAAAAATTCCAAACAGGTTCAAGTATCAGGCAGCAGAATCCAGTGGCAATTTGTGTTAAAAACAAAACAAAATAACCCAGCTAAGTCTGTGAAGTTATTGTATACCCAGGATTTCTTTAGGGAAGGTACTTCAAATTTTCTTGGTTTCTTTAGGGAAGATCTTCAAATTTTCTGGTACTATATTCAAACTGAGGCAATTTTTCTGACAATTTTCTTCTCTAGAACTTCTTTGCCTGAAAAAAAAAAACAAAAGCTTAAGTTAGTTACGAAAAAGCAATCCTACCCACTTAGAATATAACAACTGATATGGAGGGGAGTGTCTCCAAAGTATTTTCATCAATGTTTTTAAACAAAATCAACAAAACTATGAACACAGGCTTTAAAAAAAAGCTAGATACATGTTTTCTTTGAACATTTCATTCCTGCTGAGATAAAAATCACCTCTCATTACTGAAAATGAAGCTATTCTCTCTTCCCTGCAGTTAAACTACTGTTAAAGTACTGAATATTTAAAAATGTACATCTAATTACCCAGGAATAACTAGGTTTGTAATTACAGTAAATGACATATTTTCTTCTTTCCACTAACCCAGTAAACCACATACATAGGAAATGCTACTCCACAAGTAATTTCATAATGTATATTTTGCTATAATAGAAACATTCAGACAGTATCCCTAATTAGCCCTAATATATAAAAATTTAAAAATCTAATACATTTCAAGTTTAGTAAGTACTATTTTATGAGCTTTTAAAAATAAGGAGGAATTAAAGCCCATTCTTTCTGTTCTTTAAAAAGGTTTCTGATAAGTAGAATGTTTTACCATGCTTAAGCCTGTCTTCAGTGGCTTCTTTTTTAATGCACTGAAATCTATCCTTATCTCTAGCACAGGCTTGCAAGCAACAGGAAGGAAACAGCACTTGACCACGTCATGGCAAATTAGAACATGCAAAGAACTGCACTTTACAATGGTAGAAAAACAGAAGCGCAACTCAAGAGTGAAAACAATTTCACAGTGGAGGGAGAAATGCTTAAAAAGTACCTTCCAAAGATGCTTGCCTATTTTTAAAAAAAATTACCACTGTGATCAAAAGTAAAAGGAAAATTTTAATTTAGAAGTTTATCTTAATTTTATTAAATATTGTATCATATGGTTATGGCCATAAATGAGAATGAAAAGACGAAGATATAAAAATATATCACATTAAGTAATACCTAGTTCTTTGAAACAGCATTTATAATTTAATTTTAAAGAGACAAGTTCAATAATGAAGCTGAGCTGGTAAATGAGTTTCCCTGAAAACTTAAATCTAGCTAGCATGTGCTAGTCAAATCATATACTGGGTTTCCTAATTTCAGCAAAGCCAATTCCCTATATATATTCTATACACTAGGGGTAATCATGGATTACACCTTGATTTCCCTAACTAAATATTGAAATAATATAAAGGTTAATAATTCAATTCAGGTGATATTTCTACTGACTAAATTCTAACCCAGCAGTTTCCCACACTCACCTACTCCACCCCTTTTAATGAGTTAACTGTAGCATTGTGTATTTTTAGAACATTCAGGTAGTTTTTGAGCAATGTACTATATCTAAAGGGGAAAATAAAATGCTATGAATTGATCACAGAGATGTAAACATAGGACATACACTGACCTTAGACAAACGTTACTTATCATCTTTCCTTTAATCACCCAACCCAATTCTTCTATACAGTTTGCTTCCTTATGGGCCTACACAAACCACAGTTATTTCTTGCCTCCCTTCTCAACTTGTTATTCTCATTCCAGGAATACTGGTTCTAATTCTCAGCACTCTTTCACATCTTTTCTGTTCTTCAATGCACAACTGAAGTACCATTTCTTTCACAAAGGTTCCTAACCTCCATGCCTTGACCTATATGGACCTTCGAAAATATAGCAATTACTGCCCATGCCTCAAAGTTAGCATTACTTGTACGTTGTCTCACATTTGAAAATTGTCCCCTAATCCAATTGAATAAATGTTTGAGTGTCTATTATTTGCAAAGCAATGTGCCAAGTATCAAGATAATTAGAGCAAAACCCTTCTGGATTTTCTGGGTAAGTAACCATTGCCTAAAATTTCTTCTGAATTGTACACCTGAAACCCACATACCTTAATTAAACAATGTATACTAATAACTTTAATTAAAAATAAAAATAAATAGAAGTTCTTCTGTACCTATCAAAACTGTGTTGCCCATAGTGATAATAAAAATAATTATATTAATATTATTTTAAAAATCTATCATTACATATCTAAGCTATTTTTACATATATTCTTAATAAACAATGACTATAGTACTTTTGATAATGAGGAAACCATTATCCTAACACAAAAGTTTTCCTGTAAAAAGCTAAATTTCAAAAACTATTCAAAAATCCATTTGTTCACAAACACAAAGTGACACTGTACTAATATGAATGTGAACACATCTATGTAAAGTTAAGTTTCACTTTCTTTTCCACTACAATTGCATACTTTTTCTTAGCAGCAATTATACACTGCTACTGTGCTTTAGTGATTTTTTCAAATCTCAAAAATAAGAACAAGTAATTAACATATAGCTTACAATGAAGAGCAATAATCCAAAACTAAAATGACTGCCCATTTTTACTAAGCCATTTGTTAGGATAGAGATACCTTTACTCTGGTATGTAGCTTTTGTTCATTTCTATACAGATGTTCATAAACTGAAAATGTGTCAGTAAAGAAAAGCGCTTGAACTCTCCTATTGGATTTAATTAGCCCTTTGACACTGTCTTTTTTCACTTTCTCTATTTTGCTCTTCCTCTTCTCTGAATCAATATGTAACCTATGGCACCAAAAGTGGTTCTTGGGAAGAAATTTTCTCATTCCTGATCCAGTGTTATCACCTTTACATATTAGAGGTATTTAAATAACAAAGCCCCTGTGTTTTAGATGAGTGTGAACATCTAGATTAATGATTCAATTATCATGAGTAAACAAATCGAGGTCTGTGCCCCAAGGTCTCAAAGTCCAAAAGCACAAAAGAATTACAACTAGAATCCTCATCCTCTAAATTAGGAGTCTGTGTATGACTACAATATATAGCCTTGCCACTAAATATACCCAGTATTTATACTTAGTAGTTTGGAACATAGATTTCAAAGTAAATATTATGTTAAATGGGGGAAAAACAAATCTCCATCTCTAATTCAGCTCTTGATCTCCAAATCACTATGCCGTTAGATAAATCCATCTCAGTGTCCCTCAAATTCAGTGTGTCTAAAACATGTCCAAAACTGAACTTACCATTTTATTCCTCAACGTTGCTCTTGTATGGACAAGTGTGGGTACTCAGACTGAGGACAAAAAAAGACCTCTGCTTTATTCTAACAAATTATAAGGTCTTCAGTATATTTAAAATTTTTTTAAATTTATTATTAGCTATATACTATTATTTGGGAATACTCTGCTGTGTTAATAGTTTTCAAACATATTTTATTTTCAAAGTGTCAGTCTTTAAAAAGTAGGAAAAATAAGTTAAAATAGTTCATTCAACACAAAGACATAAACAGTTAATATTTGCACAGTTAGAGAGTTCATCTAGTTGGGCATCTCCCAAATAATAAAAACTTCCCTACCAGGTTCTCATGTCTTTTAACTGGGTTGTGACCATATACTTATTTTTCAAGGAGACATTCCAGAGGAATGCCTCAGCAATAAGATTCCTAGCTTCTTATCACCCAAATAAGCTCCAGACTTAAGGTAAAATAGTAAAGCAAGCAAAACAAGAGCACATGCTCTGGAGTCATACCACTTGGGTTTGAATATTCTGCATTGTGACCTTGGACAATTAACATAGTTTCAGTCTCCTCTTTCTGCAAAATAAGTGTGAGCCATAGTTTCCTCATTTTATAAAATGGGTATAATGAATAAGCCAAAATCTAGAGTTGTTATGAAGATGAGATACAAAAGGCATATGCAGAATGCCTGGCATATAAATGTTACTCAATTAAAAATTAGCTTCATTATAGTCTAAGTATAGTGCAAGAGATATGTTAACAGGTGAATGCCAGGTAACTGATTATTCCTTAAAGTCCCACTTTCACACTCCCTGGGAGTTTCCTTTACCACAGTTATTTGCAAGAATCCAACAAAGAACACCAGAGCCCATTACTAATATAAGCATATTCTATTCCAGTGCCTAAAAACTTGACAACTCTGATAAATCCAGGTGCTTCAGAACTAGGACCTCACCCTGTCTGGCAATCTTCTCTTTCACAGAGTTCCATTGTGTCTCTGTTCCAAACAAAATGAATGCACTGACTATAAACACAAAACCCTGAGCAAGCCATGTTGGCTACGACAACCAATTAAAATGGTTAATTTGTGTTTATTACAAAAGATTTCAGGTATTATAAAATCAAAATCAGTTTTTAATATTTCCAATGCTTTCTTTCTCAATCCTTGATTGAGTGCAATTTAAGTTTTCTTAAAAGGGTTTTAAACACAGGGTCTAAAAGCCTATTAATTCATAACTATATTAAAAAAATCACTGCTACCCCTTGGAAGCTACTAGGCCACCAACTTATGATACTCAATAGAAAATTTGATAAATAAAAAGAACCAATCAAACAGACAAAAAAAGCAAAAGGGTTTACTTTAGATAAGACAATTCTGGCCCAGAGAAGGTAAAATTCACTAGCTTAGGGCAACAGGATTGTTGAATGGCTACCTCTAATGAAGTATTCAGACAGTGTTTGTGTGTGTGTGTATAAATGAATATATTTACATATGTATATATTTATAGGGTTGGGAGTATCTAGAGAGCTGGATTTCTGTAGTAACCCCAGATGCCAAGTACCTTCTCAACATATCAACATACCTATTTTAAGAAAAGTAGGTATATTTGGAAAAAAATTACATTAAAAGAAATAAAACAGAAAGACAATAGAATTAGAAAGTGAGAGCAAGAAGCTATTTAAGTAAGAAGAAAGCAATAAATCCATAAACTGTAATGATTGTAATTCTTATATAATAGACCATACTTAGGATTTTTCATTTGTTTTCTAAAATACTAGAATGCTTCAAATTAGCTCCTAGCAGAAGTGAAAATAATAAATCAGTGGTATCAAAATAAAATTCTGTACAATCTTCCAAGAGCCTGCCTATTCTAAAAGTATAAAGTCACACAATTTTAGATCTGAAAAAGATCAAACAATTACCTACGAAAATGC